ATGTTACCTCTGCTATTACTGCATATTTAAGTGTGATGGAAACTTAGGTAGAGTCAGTTTTGATTACACAGGATTTGTCTATTTGCTACACTCTATTTCATATTGGAGTTCTTAAATTGGAATCATCCAGTGTAAATGTTACATACTCAAAGACAGTACTGAGACAGAAAATATAAGTCATAGAAATAAAATTGGAAAAAAAATGCAAAAACGAGAGAGTATTTACTCCTTATATAAGGAGAGACAGGATTTTTTTTCTATTTTGCTGGATAGACTTAGTTCCCAAGTAGTGAACCAAGAAATAGAAAATTATGTTAAGCAAGAAGCTGAGCCTGCACAGGGTGTTTAGACAGTGTCTTAGGAAGCAAGGCAATAGAGGGGTGAGTGGTCACCCCTTCTGTGGGGTCAGTGACTTAAGGGGCAGGTGGCACCTGAGGCAGAACGTAGGCAGTTAAATAGGGGCACTAAGCACCAGCACTTTAGTGGTAGCACTCTGAGCAATTCCCTGTACAGCAGGCAGGATCAATACAGAAGTTGCCAGGTAAAGTCTCAAAGTGTACCAAAGGTGTCAAGGTGAGAGGGAATATTTCACTGGATAAAGTCATTTTCTGTGGTGTTTACTCTTTCTAAAGCCAAGTGAAATCTGACTTCTAATAGTTAAAATATGATAGAGGATTTATGTACAGAAGAGACCACAGTTTAGGACAAATTAACTTCTGTTTTAAGATGCGGAAGTTTGATGTAGTTGTGGAATAGGGTTGTGTTTGTTTTTTCAAATGCAGAGCACAGGAATGGCTCTAGTGGTTCATACCGTGACTTGATGCAAGTAACTCAGCATTGTCTGGGAGCTGATAATCTGCAGGATAGGACAGAGTAAGCATTTAATCCTGCTTCCCCACAGCACTGTCCTAGCCAACAATGATCTGTGATTCTTGAGAAAATCACTTTCTCTATTATGAAGTTTGGGATTGGTTTTTGATCTGTGGACTAGTTCAATTTGTTTTCACATATTTGTGAACTTCTAACGTTCGTAACATCCCGTGGCAAGATGTTTCACACGTACTTTGCACAGTGTGAAGACATAACAAATGAAAGGAAGTGCATTTTCTTTCAATGGATAATTACATTGTCAAGTAAATGTAGTATTTCAAAGTGGTGGTTCCAAGAGCAGTTGTTTAAACTATAGCGATTAAATGCAAAAATAGAATTTCTGGCTGTGAAAGAACCTAAGTTGCAGATACCTGGAAACAAAGACGATACCTCAGGAGAAGCATGCCCTGACCATAGAGCCAGACACTGGATGATGTTATCATTATTGGTCTTTAATTGTAGCTCAGAACAGTTGTCCATATGTTCTTCACTGAATTGTCTATATTGCTCGATGACTTAGAGAAGGGAATGTAAATAATTTTTGTGCTCCTTATCTCTTAGCTCCTTTCATGCTCATAGTCTAATGTGGAGTTAGTTCTGAGCAAGATTTTGCAGAGATTAGGAGTAAGGCTTTGTACCTCAGTTATGGCTCTTCAAGGAAGTCTCATCAGATATTTATAATCACTTTCTTCTCTTTCCAATGATATTCAGTGCACAGTGCTGCGGAAAGCTCATAAATCACCTGAAAAAGTTGGGTGTTTAATTATGCAGACGTTAGCTGTTAGTTATTCCCTTCTATCATGAAGGATCTCTAACCTCAGTACCCAGTAGCTCAATAAATGCCAAAATTGTTCCTTAGGTTTACTTTTACTCAGTCAAATAGAGTTGTGCCAGAATATACTAAGTGAGAAACAGCTGGGTAATCTAAAGCTAGACGTCTAAATCATGCATCTGATGAGTTTATCAGTTCATAATAGTTCTCATTGCTGTGTGAATCTAATGAGGTCAGTTTAATAAAAAGTATCTGCTCTTCTGGTAGTCTTGTTATTGCTCAAACCTGTCAATGTTGTAGGAGTCATCAAAGCTGTATGTATCAGACCTATTTCTGTCCTCTGTATTAAGATTTTGCACTGTGTCACCCCATGGCCCTGCAGGTCTGAGTACACACCCTGGTATCTCACTGTCTGCCCTACAGCCTTTCTGACAGTCAGCAACTCTCATGAGTCAGTTCTGCTGCTTCTCCTGACTTAGGTGATGTGTGTCTTTCACGTGGGGCATCCTTTCTCTCAGCTGCAGAGGGCCTCTGGAGAATCTCTTGGCTCAGGTATTTGGCTGCTGCACTGTTCTCTCCAGAAAGGTTTCTTATCCTTGTGCTTCCCTTATGCCTCAGGCCCTTTCTCCCTCTTCATGCAGGTTCCTTTCTTGGTGGAGGGTGATAGTTTTTGTGTGCCAGCCTCTCCTCTGAAGAGGGTTCAGGAAGGTTAACACTTCAATCTCCAAACTCATTTGAGTCCTCTCCTATGCAGCAAGCAGTTGATCTGGCTGTTTTTCTTAATTAAGTGGTTCTGTTTCCTTGAAAATGGAACCTATGCCTTTGCCAGGTGCCACCTTTGATATTACTCAGTCTTTGTGGCAGTAAGAGGTAGGACTCTTATAGACCTTTCCTTGATTATTTGCTAATGTTTCTTTTTGTGAATTGTCCATATAATCTGTATGAAGTCAGTGTGTTGAGATGCATTTAATGTAATTATTTAATATGTATGTTTGCTATTTTGTATGTGGCTTATTAGGGCTTTTGGCTGAGACTAAGCACAGCAATTAATGTGTTTGGGGTGAGTAGTTCTCAGCCTCTTTATCTGAAGAAGGTTGTAGCATGCACCAAATCGCATCTATTTGAAATTACAGTTGTGGTAAAACTTTTGCCAAGAAAAGGCATCACAGCCATCCTCAGAGTTTCAGTGAGCAGCTGAGATCAGCAGCTCAGCATGGCTGTTTTCACAGACAAGTTGAAAGTCAGCTGGCTGCAATTCAGCTCAGCAAAATAGAGATATTAGTGATAATTTAGGTGAAAGAGCAAAACTATCCAACAAAAGCAGTGTTGGCTCCTTGGGGTGATATTTTTCATCATTTAAGTCTGTGACTTTTTATGAGGGATTCTTTCCCCTTCATTGCTTTTAGTCACGCTCCAATTAGTAAGCCAGTCAGATTCTTGTCATCCGCATGTGGCCAGGACTTTCTAGCCTCTGCTTTTTGATGTGGATTTTGGTTCTTATGCAGTCTTTTGTTGTACTGTAGTTAGATTGCTACATAGCGTTTCTCCTGGACCAAATTGTAGTTACTTCGTGACAGCAATTCCAGAACTCATTTGGGTATTATATGGAGGGAATTTCAGTGGTGTCTCTGCTTGTGCTTTCAACAAGGTTGCCCACTTGTAGGGTTACTTATGTATAGTTTGCCAGTAGCAGATCACGAGCAATGATGATGGCCTTGTGGGATCTCTGAAAAAGTCCTCTTTTAAAAGGGCTTTGGGAACTTGCTAAGGATACGTTCCACAGACTAGAGGCAGGAAGAAACCTTTCCTAACTGCTTGTCTGTCTGGCTTGACAGGGCAATTATTTTTATCTGAATGTTTATTTTTCAATGCTTGTGACAGACTGTTCTGTTGCTTGCAGGGAAGAATGTTATACACAGTGTGTATTGTGAAATGTGACATTAAAGAGAAGTGAAAGTCTGCTTTCTTCTCTCTCTCATTTTTCCTTTCATTTCTGTCCAGTCATGGCCAGCCACAATATTAAGTTATTTTTCTTCATCTCTGAGACAGACAATAGACTATTTTGGCAGTTTCACACAAGGAGCAGACTCGACTCCTGTAATTATTTGTGGTGGCCTAAAAGAGAGAGCTGAGACTAATCAAGGAGAAAGTACGAAGATGAAAACTTGGTAGACTTTAACTGAGTCTCACTGAGGAAAAGTTCACAAGTTATTTTATGAACTTTGGATTGATCAATAATATATCTCAGCAGTGTTAACCCTTCCTTTTTTGGAGAGACAAATAAAGCTATCAGCAAACCTCCCCAAGGAATTACTGTGTGATTGAAATAGTGTTGTCTTTATGCAAGTATCTTTATAAACATGAGAAGATCAAATAAATATAAAGGAAAAAGCCTTACCATAAGAACAGTTCTGGACTTCCTAGCAACCTACCTACCAGGATCCTTAGCTGCAGAAGGTTGCTATACTGCAGAAAGAAACAGTTTGTAGGCAAATAATAGCTAAAAATACATCAGTGTTTCTTCATGTAAAGGTGATTTTCAGTATGAATTTTACTTCAGATAATATATGTCTTTATTTTTTAGATTACATAATTTTATTTCTCCTTTTTTATGTATGTAGCAGTTCATGGGCTGTAGCTTCTGACTTTTATTATCGATACAATATTTATTTCATATATGACTTATTATTCTTAAACTGTTAATCAGTGATACATAGAAAACACATGACATAATGAAAAAATAAATAATTATTTTAAGTTGGTATGAAAACCAGTTCAACAATCACTGTTGCTGCAGCTTCAAATGATGAGATGGATGAGGACAAAGACTTGGCTAAATGTCAGTTATGTTCAGATACTGAAAGGTATAGTGTCCTTGGCTACTTATAAAAATAAATATGTAGCTGAGCCTTCTAGTTGTGCTTGGAACTGATTTTTGAGTAGGGGGAAGGGGGATTAAGATTGGAAGGTGCTGCTTGTTCCAGTAATCACAATCTCAATTTCTCCACAATGTAAATTTGCCACTAATCCATCAAACTGTCAAGGGAGCCTCTCCATACTGAATTTGGGTGGGTTTGTTTTTTTCTGTAATACGAAAGAAAATGTTGTGCAAAATGATGCAATTTTAAAACGTCTATGCAGTGATAATCTGTATTTGTTTGAATAAGTGGGAGCAATAATTCTTTTCTTGCAGATGGAATGCAAATAGAAAAAGAATTCTCTTAGCATATTAATTCAGTAAGAAGATTAATATAAGCTTGCAAACTTCTTAGTCAAAATCTTTATTCTCTCAATAGAATGCAATACAATTACTGCTTTGATGCTGATAGTAAATGAACTGTTTTATTGAATTGTCACAATGAAATATTGGAGACTGTGTATGCTACTTCTTAAAAAGATTATATTTGAGGAAGACTTTGTAGAGGAGGCAAAAGAGGCCAAGAAAATTCGTTTCAAAAAGAGACATAAAGAAGTGGCTGCAACTGGACCAGTGGCAGCTACCATTACAGCCTGTTGACATTCCTGAATTCTGGACCCAGTTTGGAATAAAATTCTTAGCTTCAGGTATATTCACTGAAAGCACAGAATTAAGCCATGACTACATAAATTAGTATGAATTATTGATACTATTCCATTCAAGGATTGATATTAATGTATTTTGCAATACTGACTAGCATCACCCTTTGTTTCTTAGTTTTCAGTCATGGTCTCAGTTTATGATAAAATTCTTTATACCTGAAACAATGATCAAGCTTGAAACATGTCAAGTTCAAAGGGACCTCAGGAGGTCATATAGTCTAGTCTCCTGCTCAAAGCAGGTGATCTATGATAGCAGACCAATTGATTCTTAGCACTTCATAAGAATATTCTTTTAATATTTTTGAAGACTTGGTGTTCTCCTAAATAACAGGCTCTCTACTATTTGTTTTTTGCACAGAATACTAAGGTCAGACCTTAAGAAGAGGTTACTTAGAAGTTTTCATAAGAGAGAGAACTTTCTTTACAGAGACCAAGAGTAGTGTCTAACTTTCCTCCTGTTGTGAAAACTCTGTAGACATTTGGTGTTAAACTCTAAATTGTGCTCCTTTTTTTCATGTTTGGATCTTAAGATATATATTGTACAATTTTTATATCAGTGCAACCCCCACATTTTTTTTCTTGCCCAGTAGTTTATTTCTTAGTTAATTGTCGTTTGTGACACTGAACATTACATTTTTTTTATTTTTCCAGTGTGACAACGCCAAAGGACTCAAAGCCTTCTATGATGCAATAAAATATGGACCTAATCATCTGATGGTTTTTGGTGGCGTATGTGCAACAGTTACTTCTATCATTGCTGAATCTCTAAAGGGATGGAATTTGGTTCAGGTAAGGCGTGGAATGGAATATATTCAAATGCTGACTATCTTGTATCTCTCTTTTTATTTTTATTTAGAAATGTAGTATTTGATGGTTTTTCAAACTTAACATTTTGTATAATAAGTATATCTCAGTTTTGAAGGCCAGTGAAGTTATGTGGAAAGAACAACTACTTCCATCTACTTCCATATAGCAATCGATCTTAAGGCTTCACGTTGTATTCAAAATGTTTGGGACTATGGGGCAGCAGACATGTCTCAGTAGATTAATGGAATAAAATTAATCTAAAGTATCTCAAAAAGCAACCTAAATGAAATAAAATTAAGTTATGGTGGGTGGGCAAATCCAAGACTCATCCAGAGTTAGCGGAAACAATTCTTCAAGCCTGAAGTTATGGTATACAGGGGTCTTGGTCTCTACTCAGTCATAATGCAATAATTTCTATTGACTTCAAAAGCGTTAGAAGTTTGTAAATTCTAATTAGTAACTGAATACATGTTTCAGTATTTGATTGACAAAGAACATTTATTCCCAGCTGTTCTTTCTGACGTTCTCAAAGGGCAGGTTTGTTGGAAAGGTTCCCTCTGCTGAGGAATCAGAATTTACTAATACAAATCTTTAAAATGCAGATGATAACAGCACGATTTTCTTAATTTCTTCAATCATCTGTCCAATGATGGTTTTTGGATTGATGGCTGTTGATGCCAGTTAGCCAGCCAATTTGCTTTTCAGAAGTGGAAATGCCCTAGCTTGCATTAGAAAGGGTGTGGTTAGTCAGTGAAGAGAGGTTCTCCTCCTCCTCTATTCTGCCTTGGTGAGGCCACATCTGGAATATTGTGTCCAGTTCTGGGCCCCTCAGTTCAAGAAGGACAGGGAACTGCTTGAAAAAGTCCAGTGCAGAGCCACAAAGATGATTAAGGGAGTGGAACATCTCCCTTATGAGGAAAGGCTGAGGGAGCTGGGTCTCTTTAGCTTGGAGAAAAGGAGACTGAGGGGTGACCTCATCAATGTTTACAAATATGTAAGGGGTGAGTGTCAGGGGGACGGAGTTAGGCTTTTCTCAGTGATGACCAGTGATAGGACAAGGGGTAATGGGTGTAAATTGGAGCATAGGAGGTTCAAGGTGAATATCAGATTTATTTTTTTTTTAATGTGAGAGTGACAGAGCACTGGAACAGGCTGCCCAGGGAGGTTGTGGAGTCTCCTTCACTGGAGACATTCAAAACCCACCTGGATGAGTTCCTGTGTGATGTACTCTGGGTGACCCTGCTCTGGCAGGGGGGGTGGGCTAGATGATCTTTCGAGGTCCCTTCCAACCCCTAGGATTCTAGGATTCTATGATTCTGGCTTTCCTACTCAATATTCCTCTTTCTCCAAAGACAAGTTTGTCCTATTTATTAAAATGAACAAAGCATTCTATAGCAAAAAAACTCCAAAACTATAAAAGAATAGTGTGTAAGGTTTTGGTTACCAACAGACTCATCTTTTCCATCTGGAATACTCACTGAGAATAGGGTAAAATGAAGAAATAAGGCATAATTAAGTTTGTGAAGATGATGATGATCAGAGTACAAATGGGAAAATCTTAGGAGAATAATTAGAGGAGCTTGTTAACTGTGTTTGCAGTGATCGTCATATCAGATAGTTTTTTCTTATTTCAGGGTTTTTTTCTGGTGTGAAAAGCATCAGTTATCCTATGAAAACAAAATAAAAGTGTATCTCTCAGGAGAACAGAGAAAGCAACAGAAAGCTTGAAGCTATCATGGAACATTCTCTCTTAAAAATTACCTAGTCCATATGGGCCTTTAATGAAGGTGGCTGGAGCACTTTTTTTTTTTTTTTGAATTTGTCACATGGAGCTTCCGGATGATGTTCTAAAGAGCTGGATTTCTTTGTGCTAAATCCTTTTCATTTGCAGTCAAGTTCTGCCTGCTAAGGTCTAAAAATCAATTTGTTAATGCAGTTGCTCAGTCAGTAAGGAAGGGCAATTAGAAAGCTTCTATTTGCTTTTAAATGCCTTAATTTGTCAATGTATGTGTTAACTTATATAATGATATGAAGCATTGCTATCAAACAGCATCTATTTCTTCGTATTTAACCACTACAGCTGTGACTTAGTCTTAAACATTATTAATGATCAGTACATCAAGGGATTCTCTGCTGCTTGGGCTTAGTATCCTGCAGGCACGAGATAATCCTCACGTGTTGTAACTCCGCTTTGTGTCAGGTAGTTATATATTGATTGAATGACAAAAGAATACCTGGAAGCATGGCTGGGAAGTGTGGAGAGGTTTAGTGGATGGTACAGGAAGAATGGAAAGAGTCTAAATACAGTTTAAGTGTTATGTTATATGGTGACAGCAATATGTGTATCTGTAAATCAGCATGTGTAAGATAGTGGGGAAATGGAGTACAAATTCTTCCACTCCCCTGAACCCACTGTCGTAAACATCTTTGATTAAAACCACAACTTGAATAGAAGGAATAGATAGAAATCTGTAGTTGTTGGAAGTGGAGTGATAATATTCAGCATGATAAAATACAAGATTTGTCCTTCTGCAAAACCTGAAACTTCACCTCAGGGCATCACAGCAAGCTTACGTAAATAGTTATTTGAATTTGTGATCATGACGAAGTCATTTTATGTTGCAATCAAAAACAGGCAAAACAGCATATAGACAAAAGCTAACCTGACACTGTATTACTTAATAGAGGATATGCATTTGAATGTCGGACTCCATCTTTTTTTCCCTGTGCAGGCAGTCATGAAAACAGAGCAGGAATATTTGATTTGATTGTCATGTCGCTGAGCAAAGTGATGATTGTCTTCAGTTCAAGAGAAATTCAGGATGCTACTGATAGTACTGGGAGGAATAGGGAAGAAAAGAAAGATTAACAGATTATAATAAATGAAAAATTACTTTCTTTAGCAAATATGATATGAGGTTGCCTGCCTGCTGAGCTTTTCT